GTATTTCACCCGAGGCTATACTTTTCATACCTATGACTATGGTAGACACCGGGCGACAAGTAATTATGGAATATGTGTGAAAGGCGAAACAGATTTCTACGGGATCTTGCAGGAGATTTATGAAGTTCAATTCTCAGGTATGAGTTTGAAATGCGTTATCTTCAAGTGTGAGTGGTACGACCCCGTCGTCAACAGAGGTTTTCGGATTAACAAGAACGGTGTAGTTGACGTCAATGGTGGACGAAGGTACAACAAATTCTTTTTTGACATATGTACCTGCATCTTCTGAGAAATAATAATTTCTCCGTTGTCTTAATTTTTGCAGGTGCAACAAATTCGAGCCTTTCATACTAGCTTCCCAAGCAGATCAAGTTTGCTTCATTCCATACCCTCGGATTACTACAACGGGAATAAACTGGTTAGCTGTTATCAAAGTGACACCTCGAGGACGGATTATCGAGGGAGAAGAACCACCATTGCAAGAAGAATACACCAATGAAATCGAGGAACCTGAAGCAGAAATTGATGACATCCTACTCATTGATCCGCATAATCGTGAATACGAAGATGTCCCTGATCACTCAACGGACGACGTTGTTGAGGACGAGTTTGCCGAAAATGATGATGTTTCTACGGATTATGAGAATGTATCCGAATGAATTATGTATGTTTTTATAAGTTTGTTTAATCAAAAACCAATTTCAATAAAGTATGTTTTATGTTTTTAAGCTTGTTTAATAAAAAAAAATGAATTTGGGATTTAGGTGTAGAAGAGGTTAGGATCTTAGTTGTAGGAGAGGTTATAAGTTAAGGAAGTTGTGGTTTGGGGTTTGGGGTTTCGAGTTTAAGGAATTACAAACACTTTCCTCGTAAAGGCCTAGTAATTGAAAACACGGGCATAGCTATTTCCTCGTAAGCATTATGAGGACTTTAAGAGGAATGTGTTTACGAGGATCTTACGAGGAAAAGGTACTTTTCCTCGTAAAGCCCTAGTAATGAGCTTTGTTACTAGGAAATTAAGAGGAACTAGATAGAAAATATCGAATTTAAATTTTTCCTATCAATTTCCTAGTAAATTCTCAGATTCCTATAAATACCACCATATGTGATTCATTTGAAACA